GCTTGCTGTCGGTCCCTTCGAGCTACCTTGTGGTTCCGTTTCCCTGTGGCCTAACCTTAGGGACAGTGTGATCTGCCCTGCTGCCCACTCCGCTTACTGCCTTGGAGCGATTTCAGGGAGAGGGGGAAGCCCTGACTGTGTGCTGCAGGTTCTAAGCAAAAGACATTAGAGAGTTTACAAAGAAATTAAGATTCCCCAGCTCCACCTCAGACCCACCGACTCAGAACTTCCAAGGACGTCGGCACCTGTACCTTTGAAGGTCCTCAGGTGATTGGTGGCAGCAGGTTAGTGTGTCTCATTGGGTCCTCAAACATAATATCTGAGAGGTATCTGAGCCTGTTTGGCTCTAAAACCTCCCCTCAGAACTGTCTTCTAAGGTCACAAGGTATGAGGACTGGCAGTCCCCTCCCACCACTACCTGTGCCAAGTGTAGCAGACAGGAGGTAGTGTCGCCCTTTGTGCCAGCACAGGCAGGGAGCCAGAATGAGAATCAGGTCAGCGAGGGTGTGTGGCACCTGCCCAGGGCTCTGCCAAATGCATCCGGCAAGGTCATTGGCTCAGGAGCGCCTGCCCATGACCTGCAGGTAGAGATTTTTGCCCTTCACCATGGTGGCAAGTGCGCAGGAGCAACTCAAGAGGCCTGGCAGCTCCATAAGTAGGTTAACATCAAACCTAGTCTGGGGCTGTAAGAGTTTCCTATCACTGCCTAACAAGTCACCACAATCTAGCGGATGAAAACCAGACGTTTGTCCTCTCAGGTTCTGAGTGCCAGGAGTCCAGGCAATGAGGATGGCCTGCGCTCTCACCTGGAACTTGGGTCCCCTTGAGCTTGTTCAGTCATTTCTGTTCTCTCGGGTGTAGGGCTGAGGGCCCCTTTCCTCCCCCATGGTCACTGAGGTCTGCTCTCGGCTCCCAGTTCCTGGCCTGGGACCTCTCACAACACGACAACCAGCAAGAGAAACCCTCAGTGCTCCGTTTCTTCTCAAGGATGGACACTTAGGCTACGCCTGCTCCGGATCATCTCCCTTTTCCCTGAAGGTCCCTTAGGGACTCCACATCTGCAAAATCCCATTTTTGCCACATAATATAACCCAACTGCAGCAGTGAGGCCCCATCATGCTCGCAGGTCCTGCTCAAACTCAAGGGCAGGGCATCCGCCAGGGCGTGGGGCACTGGGGGTCGTCTTCGAACTCTGCTGACCACAGGGTCTTCGGGGTCAAAACTAGAATTTGGCCATGCCCATAAGTGAAATCCACCAGCAGGGACCAGGGAAGCAAAAGCAAACATAGAGTCAAATTTCAAGGACTAATACCAAAGATCACTTTTATTGGTAAGATATAAAAACCCAGGTCTCTTAAACCCACACCATCTCCCCAACTATCTGGCAAGACCCTCTCCAAGTCTGTGAGGGTGGGTAACAGGAACACAGGGTCTCCTGCTCAGAGATTTACTGTGGGCTCAGATTCCTGTCCTGCTTCCTCTAAATTCTCATCAGCTTGGACTCTTCTAAAGGAGGTGGAGAGAGGCCCCGGTCCCTAAGTGTAGGGCCAGCCCCATCTGTGTGTGATAGTAGGTCTCCCCAAAACAGAAAGTTCTTGGTCTGAGCTGAGCTTGGACGGCTGTCAGACATCACACACACACATACCCCTCTTCACAACAGGTACGTGGAGGTACAAGTTTAATAGTAACGGCAGGTGAACAAAACACAGGTGCGATGCACTAACACAAGTGGGGGTAGGAGGGGAGAGGGACTCAATGATCACAGCAATCCACGAGGGACTCCTTTGGTGTCCTGAGGTCACAAGATGCTTGACACATGTCACCAGGAACAGCATGTTGAGTAAAACACCAACTCTGGAAGACAAGTAGTGGCACTTGCTGAGCGTAGAGTGGGGGCAGGGCTCTCTGTCACAGAGTTTAATACTCAGGGAGTCTGGGCCAGGAGTGTATGGTCAGCTGTTGACACCAGGAGAGGAATTTCTTCAGGACACATCCCGTTTCCCTAACACTAGGTGAAGAAACCGGCCCCACCCAGAGTAACCAGGCCCCATGACACCTTGGTCTTTTGATCCACAGCAGCTTTACACACCCCTGCACCCCACAGCCAGTTTCAGTCTGCCTACTAAGCACCCTCCCTGCAAATGGGTTTCCAACAGTGAGCAAATGCAGAGATGGGATCTGAGGGACAGGAGTTGGCGGAGGAGCGGATGTGTCCTGGGCGGGGTCCCTCCTAGGCATCGTTGAGATTGCTGTTGCTCAGGAGCACCTGCTCCCCAGGTTTGAAGGCTGGCATCCCGAGGTAGGGGCAGCTGGCACAGCGGAAAGCATCGCCCAGGTAGCACTGTTGAGAGAAGAGATAATCATACCAGGAAGCTTATCCCAGGGATGGGGCCAGAAGAATGCGATCTCTGCCTTCATAATATGGCCACAGTGGCCTGAAGGAAATGGCTGGGTGTATCTGTAGGTCCAATGGGGACCCAAACACTAAGAGTTTTTAAGACCTCCAGCTCCATGAAAACAATGGTCTAGAGAAGCTCCTTAGGAGGCTGCACCTCTATATTCTCAGCAGTTCAAATCACAGCCAAGCACAGCCAAACGGCAGAATAACCTCAGGTCCACCAGAAAGTAGGGACAAAATTAAGAAACAAGAGCCCCCTATCTGGCCATAAGCATGCTAACCCTCTTTTGAGAGAGAACCTTGCTTCCCCATCACCACCTACATACATGTCCTCACATTCACCTATTATTGAAATACTGGGGCGGGAAATTCCTTACAGCTTGAGCTAGTCTGTGTAGTTCAGGACGATGCCCAACACCGCTAAGGATTCGGGGAATAGTGAGTAACGGTACTTACATTTCCACAAGCCGACTTGGGTTGGGAGCTCATCTGTTCCCTGGACTTTTCTTTTTCCAGTTCTTCAGCAAGGCCACACGTGCTGGGGGGAAACCAGTAGCTGATGAGTGAGACTGACCATCACCCAGAAACTCCAAATCCTGGGCAGTGCCAAAACGTGCTCTAAGGCTTTTCTCTTTATATCAGGATGTCTTAACTCAAACGCCTGCGGGGCCAGGCGGGTAAGATAAATGCATGAGGCTGTTTAGGGAGACAGTAAGAGTGGTGGGGAATGGGAAACCCAGCAGGGAGATGCTCCATCTACAAAGGGCAGCCACTACTCAACTTTCTCCTCCAAACTCTATGCTTTGATCTGCTCTGTGGGGACAGCTTGGGGTGCGGTGAGCTTAGAGCAGAATACAAAGAGGGGCCACTGCCTCGGACCGTATTTCTGCGGGTCATCAGTCCCTGCATCGCACTACAACCCTGCCAGGTCTCTAACTGTGGCACATCCTTGGTTTCCTAGAACTCACTCATGGCTCTTCCTACTGACTTCCCGGAAGTTGCTTAGAGATTCCCACGGAAGCCAGACCAGAAGGCCCTGTCAATCCCATCCTTCCTGGGGGGCCTTCGTAGGCATGGAGTATTGCTCTTTCTCTGCGAGTCAGATTGGGGCTTATGATTCAGTTTCTCACAACTAAATATTGTATTGTTTGGAGAGTCACTTGGAGGTGGTTAAACTATCAACAAAGCCGGGACTGATTAATACAAACTTGGAATGGTAGCCCCTGTGGGGAAGGTGGAGCAAGACGCAGCCGAGGACGCGTGCAAGGCGCTGCTGCCATACCAGTAGTGTTTCTGATTCCTAACCTGGTGATCGGTTCTTGGGCTCATTTTCTTAATCCTTAAGATGTGCCTGCTGAACATACTCCCCTGTGTGTCTGATGCATTTCACAGTCAAACGAATGTTGTAGCTGCAGCAGAGCGCTGCGGCTCCTGGGGACAGCCGGCACGGCGGCCCCGCTGCGCGCGGCAGAGCGCTCACCAGTTCTTGCAGGCCTTCCTCTTCTTCCCTTCTCCGCATGCAGGAGCCCGCAGGGAAGCCGGGTCCGGCTTCTTCAAATCTTCAGGATCCAGTAGCTCATCTGAGTCGATGAGATCCTGGGGAGTGTTCGGAGCAGTTAGTGACACAGTCACGGTCTTTGCTAACGACAAGCTGAGGTGGTCACAGGCGGAGGGAGCAGATCTACACCATCTGTATAAAGAAGGCACCCGCCACCCTCCTGGTTGACCCTCACATTCAAGCTGACCGCCACAGCGGGCTAACATGCAAGGAAGACGCACTAGGCGGTGAGGGGCCGGGAACTGGCTTACAACAAATGTATTATGTGCATTTGGGGAGGGGAGCAGGAAGAACAAAGAGAAATGTTGTACATATAAAAGGGCTGAAAAGGGGAATAAGATATTTTCTCTATAATTCCAGAGAAAAGGGCCATTAAGGATACATAGATTGTGTGATTCTTTGATAAATGTGTGGACAATTAATCTGTAAGTTCTATGAGGGCACAAACCATAACCCATTTTGGTTGCCACTATAACTCTGATAGTTGCAGAAATGAAGAACTTTATTACAGCAGCATGGGTCAGAGCTGGAGAAGTACTGTTTTTAAGACAGTGAGTGTCAATGACTCATCCAAAGGAGCCAATAAAAATATTTCAGCTGACCAACTCTTTCCAGGTTGGCACATGCCCATGAGAGTCTTTAATAAGTCACAGGAAGAATGAGAAAATCTGTGGTGAAAGAGATGCTGGAAAGAAATTTAGAAGGCCACTAATGGGGAGGTTCCTTCTAATTCAGAAATGCCGGTGACAGTAGAGCCACAGTGCTGGGCTTTAAATACTTTCACACCTACTGGTCCAGAAAGGCCACTCCCAACTGCAAGCGCTCATTCCCAAAGTGGGGCGTAAAGGAAGGCAATCAGGTGCCCGTGGCGCTGACTCACCATGCTCTCATCCTCCATGTCATTGGCTGAGAGGGTCCACAGTTTGGCAGCTGCAGGGTCCACAGCAGGCTTCACTAAGTCCAACCAATAAAAGAAAAAGAGTTCTGCAAAGAAGCCTTAAACAAACTACAAGCAAACATAAGTGCTTTCTATGAAGACTGTGTAGAGAACAGACTGGACTGAGAGTTGAAAGACCTGAGTCTGAGGCCCAGCTCTACCACTGACAAAAGGCATGACCTTGGCCCAGTCACTGACAGTCATAGAAGTCATCATTTGTTAAGCACTAGCTTTGTACCAGACACTACATGAAGCATTTTACAGACATCATCTAATTAAATCCTGCTAACAACCTTAGGAGGTAAGTGTCTGTCATCCTAATTTTATAGGTATGGAAACAGGTTTAGATATTCAGGCCAGTTACACAAAGTCACAAATGTGGTTCTGTCCGATGCTTTCACTTCCACTCCGTATTGCTTTCTCCTCATCTTAGTTTCCACCCCCAGAGCATGGGGCTAATGGTACTCCCTGCACCTACTGCGGGTGACTGAAAATTAAACGAGTGTGTCAAAAACCATAATGAACAGCACAGTTTTAGCCTCACATAAACTTGTTACATAAAGAAACTAAGCTCTGGAACTGATCCTAGCAGTGTGACACATACTGATGTCAGACACAAACCTCATACCTCCTGAGCTTCTCTATAGGCCAGATCTCAAGGAAGGGCCAGAAAGGGCTGAGATCTGGATTCAGTGTGGGGTCTGTCCTCAAGTGGGGCTGGGGATAAGAGCACCCCCTCATGATCACTGTTACAACTGCTTGCTCAGACCTTCCAAGAGGCAAACTGCCCATCTTGAGCTGTTCCCACCATTCTGAACTATGAACCCAAAGGTTGGGATTCCAAAGGATTTCTTGAAGATGTAGGCTGGACAGTCAAAACAGAGTAATGTGAATACACCAATACATCTTTGCACACCTCACAGCTGGGACAATTTTCTCAGGAATTAAAAAACAAAAGCTGACTTTACTGGCACAAAGGTAGAGGGCATATGGGAAGAGGGGCAGGGCACTCTTATCTACCATGACCACCATCACCAGGTCTTCTGAGGCTAAATGTCAAAATTCTGTGGCCTGGAAGCCTCAGTGCCCTCTAGTGCAGAAGGGCTGAACTAGATAATAACTATGTGTTATTTCAGTTTGGGATCTGAAAATGCCCAGGACAAAAGTACAGTAAGCATCCTTCCATCACCACCTCATCCAGATCTCTGGTTCAGTTTCTAATGCATCCTTCCAGGCTTATTTAGACAGAACATCCAGTCTTACCCAAAGGAGCAGACTTCTTGGCAGTAGAAAGCTTAAGTTGACTAGAAGAACCCACTTCAAAGTTGGGTTTTTTGCCTGTGATTTGCACAGAGAGCAAGCTGTCACTATGGTAACCCAGATGTTCCTGGACAGACTGTATCTCCTCAGGGCTCAAGGACTCCCGCTGCAGCTAGAATTCAAGACATCAAAAGGATTAGGCCACACTCCTTCTACAAAATGATATTCTATGCCCACCTATATAGGCATCAAATACTCAGGCCTGTGTCTTAAGTGGTGCACAGAATGGCGGGATGTTATTACACACAGGCTAATAGCAGGAGGTCCCAGACATCACCTTATGCCTAACATCAGCTTCTCACTGGTCAGAACCCTAGGTTATAACTTTCGTCTACATTTTTACTTTGAGCCTACCCTTTGGAAAGTTTGAAAACATTTATTAAATATCTGCCTACTAAATATAAGGCACTGTGCAAGTCACTGCGGGGGCTGCGGTGATTGTTATAAAGATGAGGACCACGTCTGCGTGGTCCTGCTGCATAGGACAAGCCTGTGGCAGGGAAGCAGGCCCATCAGCAGAACAGTAACATTTATATCCTAAGAGGAACAGAGCAACAGGGAGAGGGAAATGCTTTCTTTGTTCCTTGGGAAGTAGCAGCAGACAGTAAAAGTAGAAAAACAGCTGGGGTGCTGTGTCATTAAAATAATAATCTCTGTATCTAACAACACAGAACAGTTAAATAAACCATAGCCCATCTGTAGCACTGAGTAGTGTTACATCATTAATCAGAACAGGGCTGACACCCTGAGATGGATAAATGTCCAAAAAGCTAGTGACCGAACAATATGTACATATGACCTTACTGACATACGCATGTGTGTATACTTGCAAATACATACAAAAAGGCTTGAAGAGCCCTACAAAAAAATGTATTGGTGGCTCCCTTGGGGGTGGAAAGTGTGAGCAAGGGCTGGGATGTCACTTTATATTCAATATTCTTCAGTATTAAAATTTTTTTTTAAAACATATCTTTATTGATTTCAGAGAGAGGAAAGGAGGGGGAGAGAGAGAGATAGAAACATCAATGATGAGAGAGTCATTGATCGGCTGCCTAGCCCGCAACCCGGGCCTGTGCCCTGACCAGGAATCGAACCTGGGTCCTAGGTCGATGCTCAACCGCTGAGCCACACCCAGCCGGGCAGTATTAATTAAATTTTTATAAGCATCCCTTATTTTAGAATAAAAAAACAGAAAACCTTAAACTAAAAAGAAAAATAAAGGGTGGGCATGAGTAAATTAAGGCGTCCAGTCATGTAGCAAATCAGTGGTATAATGGCTCTCACAATATTACACTTACTTCTCACACAAGAAACTTTCAACATCAGAGAAGAGTGTAGAAATATAAACACCTCTATTTAATTAAACAATTCAATATTTCTATTGAACTGAGACCAGACATGGGCCCCAGCCGAACCTCCTCAAAGGAGATTTATCCCAGAGGTTTATCCCAGAGGCATCATGTATCTCACATGTGAAGCACTTCTCAACTTATTTCCTAGTCTAAGTGAACTGATCACCTCATCTTCGGGGCTGTTGTTTCTCTGATTCTCTTTGTATCATCTGACAAAGAGGTACGTACTAAGTTTAGGGACCCAAGGTTTAAGTTTCTAGCAAAGAAGGTTGTCTACAAACATACCTCTTTTACTTCCACAAGACCAGAAAGAGTCAGGGCCGAACACAGCTTAGATGCCGACTTCACTTTGCTATTGTTAACTGCCAAGAGGAAAACCCCAATCAATAGCTTTATAGGTCACAGAAGAAAAAACAATAAAGGCTCTATCCTAGGTAGGTCAGCAAGCATTAAAACAATAATCTGTTCTGTTTAATGTATATATACTTTAGTGATATTTTAACTTGACTTGGTTATTCAAAATTCTCTTACCAATGCTCTTAAGTTTTATATAATGATTCCCTTACTATTGTTTCTTAGTGCTCTCTGCTTCTTGGGAACACCTAACCTTCCTGGGCTTGTTAGATAATGATTGAGAAAGAGGCTTAGAAATGCTAAAGTAACAAGTACTGTATTTTCTCTGTAGTTCTGACAAAAGTCACTGTGCTGACATTCCCTGCAAAGAACACTGATATCTGCTATTCACATCACAAGCTTTTATTTCCACACAAATGCCTTTATACATTTCAAAATACTTTCATTTTTATTATCTTATTTGATGAAATAAGTCATCACATTCATTTTGATGGAAAGTCTAGTTAAAAAAATGCTAAAATTCAGAATTGAATAACCTTTGACACTTTACCACTTAAACAAAAAAGACAGGTTTTTATTTCTCGTAATTCTATCATTAGTTTCCTGTGAATCAATAATTACATCACTTCCAGATTTCCAGTCACTATTTTTCAGCTATAACTATGGATGCACAGGAAGTTTAAAAAGTTCAGGATCCTTCACTTCGCTTCCCCCATGGTAACATCTCACACAATACTAGTACAATCTGAGGACCAGGAAACTGACATTGACAGTCCGCAGAGCTTATCCAGATTTCACCATGTTTACATGCACTTGTGTGTGTGTGTTTCTATGCAATCTTAGCACACGTACAGATTAGTGTAACCACTACCACAATCAAGATACAGAATGTTCCATGACCACAAGGAACCCTCATATTACCCCTTTACAGTCTCATACAGCGCCTCCCCTGTCAAGCACCAACTTGTCCATCATCTGTAACTTTGTTATTTCAGGAAAATTGTATGAACAAAATCAGATAGCACATGACCTTTTGAGACTGGCTTTTTCACTCAGCATTAATTCCCTTGAGATCCATCCAAGTTGCTGCGCATATGAAGTTTGTTCCTTTTTACTGTTGCAAAGTTTTCCATGGTATAGACATAGCAAAGGCTAACTGTTCATCTGTTAAAGGACCCAGTCGTTTTCAGATAGGCAGTTTCCTTCTATTTTACTACCCAATGGATCAAAGATCACAATTTCTTCAGATGTGTTGCTTTAGATTTTTACAATAATTTATCTCTAAGGAGAAGGTTTGGCTGTAGGAATATTGATCTCTAAATGATATCTCCTGCTCACAGATGCAGCAACCACAGCTTAAGATTCAACCCTGTTAAAGCCTAGTCTTTCAAATGAAGATATCCTTACCTACAGCTGTCTCTACTGGCTCTTTCAGAAAAAGACATCCACCAGGCCGAAGGATCCGGGCCATCTCAGCCAGAATATCAGCACTGTGCAGAGTGGTGCTTCCAGGAATTACACCCGATAAAATAATGTCAAAGCTAGATTCTTTGTGGGCAGCTGAAAAGAAGGAAGACTCTATCAGCAATCACCTGGAACCCAGAAGCAATCTCCCAAGCCCTCCCAAGCCCTCCCAAGCCCCCACCAAGGCTACAGCCTGGCCCTGTAGGATGCACACCCACCTGTTCAGCAAATGCTATTAGACCGCTGTTACTAGAGGAGGGGCAAGGGCGCTACTGCCCTGCTCTCCCTCAGTCTCACCAATTTCATATCCTTTCATACACTCGGGAAGAAGTTAAAAAGGAAGCTGGATGAAAAGCTTTTTTTAAAAAAAATAGTGGGGTATCTAATAAGAAACAAGAACATGCTTATACAAATCATCAACTACACTCCTGGGTCCACTATATCTCAACTGAAAAACAACAGGGTGACCAGCCCCTACTATCACGTGCCACCCAAAACAAAAACTCAGTTATCAAGGAACAAAAGAAATGCAGCACTCCCATAGAAACCGACCCATCTCCCCCACCCCCGCCCTGTAAAGACAACCTGGGTAGGTACTTACATTGCAACAGCTGGTTGATGTTTTCCACAGACACTCGGCCCTCACTGCCAGTTAATGCCTGAAGCTTATCCACCAGGTCTTTCAGAGCCTCCACCGGGGAAGACTTATCCCAGACTACAGCCACAAACTGGCCAGCTGAGATCCCAAAGTCTGCCATTCCTGCAGTGCTGCGGTCCTAAAAACCACAGGCCAAAGGAAAGTCAAGACTGAGCAGAGACCAAAGCACAATGTCACCCACAAGGCACCACTGACTATGATTAGAATCACAAGCTAATTCTACTGGGAATGCTGACATTAGAACATCTTCCTGTCAACACGAGAGTCTGAATAAATGAACCCATTTCCCCAAGGTTTCATAATCTCAACATACCCAAACAAGACAGGTGGCTTCCTCTGTGAGAATCCTGACTTGGCAACCAAGTAAGGAGCCTGAAGGCAGAAAGATTATTTCCTCTTTGATATGAGACAACTGGGCTTGACCAGAATATAAAACACACAGGACATTAATTAGGCAGAAGTATGACTCAGCAAGAAGGCAAATAAATTGGCAGAGAGAACCCAACCACAAGCTTAATGTTTGTTCTTTTAAAAAAGAGACAAGTTAGCCCTGGCTTGTGTGGCTCACTGGTTAGAGCACTGGCCCACACATGGAGGGGTCGCAGGTTTGATCCCCAGCCCTGGTCAGGGCACCTGTGGGAGGCAACCAAATAATGTTTCTCTCTTTCTCCCCCCCTTCCCCCCTCCCTTTCACTCTCTTTAGAAAGCAATGAGAAAACATCCTTGGGTGAGGATTAACAAAACAAAACAAAAAGAGAGAGACAAGTTTTAAATTTAGCAAACTGAATATTTTCCCTTCCATCAAAATATGATCAATGTATCAGTGATCAACAGTATCTGCCATGTCTTTAACATTTATTACTAGCCAGACTGTTCAAACACTTTACATGTATTATCTCAGTTGAACCTCAGAACCACCTTAAACTAGTAATTATTCCCATTTTACAGCCAGGAAACGAAGGCCATTGACTTTGCCCAGGTCACACAACTAGTAAGTGTTGTGTGGATAAAGTAAGAGCTCGGTTTTGAATCCAAGTCCACATGACTGTAAAGCCTGTGCTTTTAACCTATGGAAATTTCCCTGCATGGATCAACTTTCTCTTCCACTTGATACACAGATGAGTATAGAATGTGCTCACATTGAAATTGGGTCAGGAGATAGCACTCTACTCAGTTACTCCTTTCTTTCTTAAATATTAATGCTGCTCTAAGAAATGAGATGAAAATATGCAAAGCACCCAGCAGAGCCTGGCACACAAAGCTCAATAAAATAATGTTCTCGAACAACTCTGAGGCTCCACTTCTCGATGGCCAGGAGAAACATGATGCTCCTTTTTCATTGTTGCAATTACCCAGGACAAGAGCTGCACTTTATGACATCTCACACAGTACTCCAGTGGGACTGTGTCAGTCAAGTTCAAGAACATGAAATGCTTCCCGTTCCATATCCCCTCACACTAATCTCCTATGGAAATAGGGTGCTCATAAAATACACTCATTAAACATTAACCCTCAAAAAACAGACACAGCCACCACTTTCCGTCAGCATTTTCCTAATACAATGGGACAGCATGTTCTTTTAAATATCTAAAAGCCAAAGTGTGATGCCTTTCATCATCAGAGTTCTGTGTTGTTGTCAATCAGACTTTTTAAAAAAACATAAGGAAAAACTGTCTGGCACTTAAGTCAACATACTTAGAAGTGTGACTCAGAGCCCAGTTTCATAACTAGAAAGAGGCGGAGTAGAAGTCACTGTCACGTCACTGGACTTGTTAAGCACCTCTCCAACTTTAACTGCTGCACGCACATGTCCGTGGATCTTCTAAAATGTTACTGACAGGCAGTGACAGCAGAGGTCTCAGAATAACTTCTGGAGATGCACTTGTTTATTTTTAAAGAACCCAGTAAACATCAAACCTTGAGGCATTTGTCTCCTCTTAAGGATAAACGGGGCCAGAAGAAAAAAACTAAGATTGAAGTTTGGGTACCAGTTCAAATCAAAAAGCAAATCCTTTTAAGTCAGGTGCATAAAAAATCTGAGAATCCTGACAGTCATCAGAAAATTTTAATTAAAATGAACTGACTGAAGCTCATGTACACACAAACCTGAGGGGGGGAGGGAGGAAGAGAAGGTGATCAGCAAGGGAACAGGAAACTCAAAGGAAAAGAAATGGAAGACTGTCACAGTAATTAGGTGTGCGTCAAGAGTTAAGCGTTTCAGAACATATCAAAGTGCTAGAATTTCCACAGAAAAGGATCATTTAAAAATAAGTGGACAGAACTCAGGAAAAAAAAAAACAACTCACGGAGAGATCAGCAGTGCTTTATCGAAGTCCAGAGATACGAATATGAAATTTTAACATTTGGGGAGTTTCGGCCTAGGAGGGCTTCCCCCACACTCATGCAGGGGAGAGCAAAATGATTTGAAAAGACTAGGGTTAGTAAGGGGTGTGCAAAACAGACACAAAGACAAGGAAGGGTCCGTTACCGGTGAGACAAGGAGACCTGGGTTCTTGTCTTCTTGAGGAAAAGATTTCAATCAAGAGACAAAGCGTAGAAAGAATTTATTGACCGCAGCAAAAATATATTTAGGACATTGAAATAAGAAAGGGCATGGAAGAAGCAACGGGAGTGCCTAGGCTGGGCTGCTTTGGCTCACTGGGAAGTCAAAGGAAAGGGGGGAAAGAGGGCCTTGGAGACAGGTTTGGGGGAGTTAGCCCAGGATGAGCTGCTGCTGCCCATTGCTCCCCTGGTTGCAAGTCTCATGGGGTCCCTTAGAGGTTGGGGGACACATGCCTGTGGGGGAAGGTGAGGGGGACGGGAATGGCATGGGCGTGCTCCCCGGAGGAACAGCGCACTGGGACATTCATTTTCAGGGCTTTTGAAGTCTGGATGTTTAGGGGAGGTCTTGGGGCCCATCAATAGAATATTCATAAGGTTTATGCCGATATACCAAAATGAGGTTTATCCTCTTAATTTGTCTGTCCTTGGTGTGGTTGGCAAATGGCACTAATTGGATTTCTGCTATCGGTCTCCCTGAGTAGGGTGATTTAAGCTATTTACCCTCAGGCTGGGGAGGAGAGGTGCAAACCATTTACCTCACCAATGCTACCAGCCTTTTCCAAGTTTGCAGATCCTACAAATCACCTCCGGGCATTTGTTAAAAAAAGACGCTGGACTATATCCAAATGCAATGAATCAACCCTCCAGGAGAAAGAGCTGGGTATCCGACCTATTAACCAGCATCCTATGTGATTCTTCCGATCTGGCAAGTTTGGGAAATACTTGATTATACCGACTCAACAACACCTTGGAGGTTCAGGAAAATCACTGGCTCAAAGTTAACCCGGAGTTTCCCCCAACGACCGAAACGTCTTCAGTTTGAGAAGAGGGACTGAGGCCCAAGGTCACTACAACCGGCTCCAGGCAGCAGCGGGTGTCAGACGCGGGTCTCCCGGACCGCAGCTCGGGGTCCTTCCTCCTGACCTCGCTGTCCCCGGGGCCACAGGCCGGGGCGGCGGCGCAGGAGACGAGGCAGCCCAGGAAGGACGAGCGGCCACAGCGCCAGGAGCCCGCGGCCGACGAAACCGGTCCGGCCCCTCACACCAGCTTCTCTGAGCAAAAGCCCGCCGAGGTCCTCAGGGAGGTGACCAAGCCTAGGTCCCTACCAAGGGACGGGACTGGGACTAGAAAATGGGAGGATCCGGGGACGAGGGTGGGCCGGGAGGAAACCGTTGGGGGAAGCCGGGCTCTCCGATCACCCAGACGGCGCTTACCTGGTACCCAGGACTCGCTCCGCGCTTCTCCGCGCACGCGCCTCTCGCGAGAGGAGGAGGCACCCGCGGTGCGTGAGGGCGGAAGTGGCTGCGCCATGCTCGCGGTGCTGAACGTCACGTCGCGGTTGGAGACGTGCCCTCTTCCAAGATGGCAGCAGCGGCGGCGGTGTCTGGCGCGCTCGGCCGTGGGGGCTGGAGGCTCCTGCAGCTGCGGTGCCTGCCCGGTGAGGGGGCGGCCGAGCCGGGGAGCGGGGTGGAGCGGGGAGAGGGCGCGAGGCCGACCTGGGCTGGGTGTGGGGCGGAAGGGGCCGTGGTGGCGGCTCGCGAGCAAGGTGAGGTGAAGGACGTGGGCGCGGGGGCCCCCGGTGGCCCGGGAATGGAACGGGGCCGTCTGGCTGGCCTTTGCCCGCAGTCAACAGCTGTGGGGGGTCAGAGCCGCGGAGCAGGGCCTGCCACTCTCGTTTAATGGACTTAATGGAGTCCCAGAGAGGGCTGTAGGTGCCCAAGGTCACACAGCCTCCTAACTCCTTTGCGAAGTCCCTGGGCCAGGAACACTCGAGGGACAGAGTTGGAGACAGCCACAGAGAGCACCTAGTCCACTGTTTCTGTCAGTCTTTTCCCCACCACGTCAGTAATTCTGTGATACCGTTGTACCACCTTCGCCACTATATAGTCAGTATTTTTGTTTATACATGTGAATTCTTAAAAACATAGACATTTACTTAAAAGAGAAAACTTTGTATCTCTACCAGAAATGGAAAACCAGTGTCACTCTCCATAAATAGGATGTATACATTGACACATCAACAAAAATATATAGCTAATAAAATAATAAACATTCTTCTGCATTTCACCTAAAATCTCACAAATCGCAGTAGGCCCTCAGTGTTTCTGTGGTACATCTGTCCCCTGTCCTTTTCAAAGTTTCATGAACATTCAGTCCATTTTTTCTCTGTGTACACTGAAATACTGATATTTTTACTTGTGTTTTTTAAAAATCATTGTTCCCTGAGTTGGTCCATAGATTTTTTTTTTTAATGAGTGTCCTTTTGTTGTTTTTATACAAAACTCCAAATGAAACATGTTTAATAAAAGTAATGTCTGTGACCCAGCAAATCCACTCCTAAGTATTTACCCAGGAGAAATGAAAGCATATGTCCATAGAAAGGTTTTTTACAAGTATATTCACAGCAACTTTACTTATAATAGCCAACACTGAAACAGCCCAGGTGTCTATCAACAGAATAGTGTTTATTGATGGAATACTACTCAGCAATAAAGAGTAACAACCTATTGATTGACACAAAAAACATAACTCAATCTAAAAAATATGTTAAACAAAAGTCTTACGTAAAAAGGACGTACTGTATGATCATGTTTAGATGAAATTCTAGGACAGGCAAAACTAGAGTGAAAAATTCAGATCTGTGGGTAGAAAATGACTGGGAAGGAACATGAGGCAACTTGCTGGGGCGATGATAATCTCTAGATAGGGGTTCAAGTTATATAAGTGTGTCCATTGGTCAAAATTCAGAATTGGCACTTTTTAAGACTTGCCTTTCATTGTATATAAATGCCAGCTCAGTAAAGAAACAGTAAGTAAATATTAAACTCTAGTTCGTATAGGCATGCTGAAATGTTTAAAGATAAAAAATACTGAGGTCTGCAACAAATGTATCAAAAAACAAGATGGATAGGTGAAGAGTGTGATGGGAGATATAGAGAATCTAGATGGTGGATATACAGGTGTCTGTGCTACAGTTCTTTCAACTTGTCTGTAAGTTTGCAATTTTTTATAATACAGTGTTGGGAAACAAAAAAGGTAGCCTGACCCTGTGCTTTTCCAAAGCCCTTTCCTAATGTGAATGAATGGGGTGTTGCAGTACTGCAGGTGAGAAAGCAGATTGAGACACCATATAAACACTAGGGAGTCAGTACTCAGACCTTCTAACTTCTAGTCCAGTGCTCCTGCCATGGTATATAAATATGAGACATTTTCCAGTCAGTTTCACCTTTTGTTTCACCCTCTCTCTCATCGAGCAAGTAGTAGGGATTATTATTCTTAATTTACATACTTTAAAGTAATGCTCACTGGGATGAAATGGTTTGCCCATTACCACACAACTAACAAATGATAGAAACAGGCCTAGAAGCCACGTCTTCTGTTTTCTGGCTCATACTTTTGTCTCCACATCATGTCTCAAGGTTGCCAATCTATTTATCCATGATTTTTGCCTGAGACCCAACACTTGGATAAGTGGTTCTGGAGGGGACTCTGCCCTCTTTTTCTCTTCCCTATCCCTTCTACCACTTTAGGTTTTAAAGGGTCTTCTCCAGTGTCCCGCACTGACCAGTCCAGTTTCTGTTTCAGTGTCCCGCTGCCGACCAGCCCTAGTACCACGTGCCTTCCATGCTTCAGCTCTGCAGCTAAGGTCTTCAGGTGAGCAGAAGCAGCAACCTCCCCCCTCTTTTTCTCAGCAACATTCTGAGACACAGGGGGCAGAAGAACCCAACCCAGAGTCTTCTCATCCACCTCCCAGGTAGGCACCAGAACCCATTTCTGGCCACTTTGCATGCTTGGGTGTGTCTGTTCTCCTTCCTCTCTCCTCTCTATCCTTCTCACCTTTCATTATTTTTCAAGACTATCTTTGAAAGGAACCTGTGGGGTGTTTTTTTTTAATGAAAATGGTGCCTGTACATTGTAAAATATCCAAACAATACAAGGAAGTTCACAGAAATAAAGCAAAAATTACCAGAAGTTACAAACTCAGAAATAACTCTGCTAACATTTTTGTTAATACCCTTTTAGGTGTTTCTCTAAGCATATTTCATAGATAAGCTTATGTATATAACAACAATTAAGTACAATATACACACTGTTCCAGAACCTGTTTTTTCACTCAATGGTACATTTTTAATGTCTTTTCATGGTATATGTTATTTTAATATTTGCATAATACTCCAGCAAATGGCAGTACCAAAATTTATTTAACCTATTTTTTATTGATGAATATTTAGATTTCCTTCACTGGTATGAAAAATAATGTGTTAAAGTGTGTGATTCTCTCAGGAGTGGGAGCACTGAGTCAAAGGATATGCGTGTGTAGCATTTTGTTACTCATGTGGGGCCAAATTGCCCTCCAGAAAGGTAATAATAATAATTTACATTTGGGTATTTTTTTTCTTAATCCTACCACTGAGAAGGTCCTCTAGCTCTGAAATTAGAGTATCCCTAGTCATTTTTCTGGTCCCCTGATTAAAGTACCTTTCATGTCAATTCAACAGTTACTTCTTGAGGATCTACTTTGTGCCAGGCCCTATGTTTTGGACCTTATGGACTTACCCTCTGGTGTAAATACAGATAAAGAAACTATGCTAAGGGCTATAAACAGGGAAATCCGGGGTGCTGCAGGAGCATGTGTCTTTCTATCACATTACCTCCTCACTTACTGCTGCCCTTCTCTCAGTGACCGTCTGGCAGGGGAAGGATGATATAATTTCTACTGTATTGCATTGCAGTACCAATACTGACACAAAAGTAAATGTCCTCCCAAAACGTGCTTAGAGGAGTCACAGTTATGGTTTCTGGGCAGGCTCATTTTGTATGCAAGGCAGCAGGCAGTGAGATGAGGTGTGCTGGGCTCTGTCCCCATATCGCTCTTGGATTTGGATCCCAGGTACACAGACCAGGGTGGCGAGGAGGAGGAGGACCATGAGAGTGAGGAGCAACTGCAGCACCGCATCCTGACAGCAGCCCTGGAGTTCGTGCCTGCCCATGGATGGACAGCAGAGGCGATTGCAGAAGGAGCCCAGGTGTGTATAGGTGAGGGCGGGATAGCCTGACCACGATCAGCCAGGAGGGAATTACATCAGCCAAAGCGGAGGCTCACACATCTTCCTGCCCGGCTTGGAACCCCTCATCGCTTAGGGTTTTCTGTTTTGGGGGGTGTTTCTTTCCCAGCAAGGTGGAAATAGGTTCATTTTTAAACTGTTTTTTAATATAAAAAGAATATATAAGATGGAGTTGGATCTTGGGAGTTAGATTCTAACAGCAGCCCATTAAAGAATTGCTTATGATAAAAACTACCATATTTCATTTAAGATGCCACTGGTTGTAAGAAGCATCGCTGTTTTATGCATCACTAAAAAAGAAAAATGGTGCCTTTAAACTGTGACGCATCATCAGTTCTGTACAATTCACACTGGTTGTTTAAAATAAAAAATATATACATCTTAGACCTGATGAAATATGGTGTTTGAAAACTGCTAAGAAGGCACCACTTCGGAGAGCAGCACTTGATTTTTTTCAATGAGTCTAATAGTAGGCATTTCCTCCTGCATTGGAATAGACTGCTGCTTTAGATTAAGCAACAGGCTTATGTTTAGGCCGTGTTGTACAGAATCATCAAGCGTAGCCAGATACCATCCTGTGAGAGGTCTGTGAAAACGGAGACCAATGGAGTTACAGGCTCATGTCTCTCATTCCAAGCTTGCTACAGGGTATCTCATGACATGAGACAATGGCAGCTTTGCTGCTTGACTTAAATTCAGTGGCTATTTCTCTTGTTTCTCACTCTCTTCCAAGAGCACGTATGGTAACAGAAGGCATGTAAATGAAATGTGTATATGATATGATTCCATGGTATGCTCATTGTGAAGACTTTGAACCATACAGATACAGAAAAGAATGAAAAAATCATCTATGATAAACCCGTGATCCTACTATCAACATTTTAATGCCTAGTTTTTCAATTTAAAAAACACACACTTTCATTTATTAATCATTTATTCTTTAAATATTTATTGAGCACATAGTGTGCACTGGACACTGTGCTAGGTCCTAGGGATGTCCTAATGGCCAAGACGGACACAATTCTGCCCTTGTTGAGCTCCCAGTCTAGAGACATTAAATAGATATATACAAACATGTACTTATAAAATGTGATGAGGACTATTCAGGAAAAGGTGCTGTTGGGGCATATAATGGTGGGACCAGATCTAATGTGGGGTGAGGTGAGAAGATGGTCAGGAAAAGCTTTTGAACTGAGATCTGAAAAATGAGTTAGGCTTTACTGATTTGGTGGTGGGGGTGGGGTGGGGTGGACAAGTCCAGACAGAGAAGCAGCATGTGCAGAGTGGAAAGAAGCCTGCCACAGAAGAGCCAAAGAAAACCATTGTGCAGAGAGGGAAGAGAGAGACGAGCTGAGTGAGACTGGGGAACCTCCGTTGACGTCAAATCAGGCCTCATGTTAAGGAGTTAGGCTTTTGTACTAAGAAAAATTGAAGACCTGGGGTTAAATTTGATGTTTAAAACCCCTCATTTTGGCTTCTGAGTGAAAAATGGATTGGAGGTGCCCTAGCTGGTTTGGCTCAGTGGTTAGAGCATCAGCCTGCAGACTGAAGGGTCTTGGATTCAGTTCCAGTCAACGGCACTTACCTTGGTTGCAGTCTTGATCCCCGGCCCCAGTCAGGGGGTGTGTGGGAAGCAACCAATCAATGTGTCTCTCTCACATTGATGTTTCTCTCTCTCCCCCTCTCCCGCCTCTCTTCCTCTCTCTCTCAAAATCAGTGGAAAAAAATATCCTCTGGTGAGGATTAACAGAAAAATAAATAATTAAAAAGAAAGAAAAGCTTTGTTGTTTTTTAAACAACTTGGAGACCTAGTTTCCAAGAGATTTAAGTTAAGTGAATTGGTGAGGGAGAGAGTTATGAATGCTCTTTCTGAGCCCCTTTTTATATTAGTACTCCAGGTTACAAGTGTTGGAGCTCAACTCTAACTGGCTCAAGCAAGGAGTGTTTTGATTCATTTAGTAACAGAAAAGTCTGGAAGTAGCTTGGGCACAGCATTCTCAGATTTTGGGGCTGGGGACTCTCTCTCCAGCATACCTGCTTCACTTTCCTCTCTGAGTTCAGTTCCCAGCAGGGGCATCCCATGCAGGACTAAGAATGGTTCAGCCACCCCAGTGGAAAGAGAGTTCCTCTTTCCCATCAGTACTAGCAAAAGTTCCAAGACGGTCTCTCAAGGCCTAGATTTGGTCATGTGCCCATCTTTGAGATGGCGCTGTGAACTCCCATCACCCAAGTCTGTGTCCCATGCTTTGCATCACACCAAGGGGCTTGATGAAGTATGGTTAGCTTCATCTGAGTCTCACAGATCGAGTATGAAGAGTGAGGTGGCCCTCTGAAAATGAAGCTGCTCTTACTAGAAGAGGCGCTAGTGACAAACAGGCAAGACATGTCCGCTGCACTTGCCACCACTGTTCTGTTTTCCCTCTTCCCTTTGTAGTCTCTGGGTCTCTCCAGTGCGGCAGCCAGCATGTTTGGGAATGATGGCAGTGAGCTGATCCTGCATTTTGTGACCCAGTGCAATGCTCGGCTCACCCAAGTGCTGGAAGAGGAGCAGAAGCTGGTACAACTGAGCCAGGCAGAGTAAGTCCTATGTCATTATTGCTCAGGGTGGCAGCTAAGGCTTGAGTGACTTAGGCCCCACCAGCTGTCCCCAGGAGGCCAACCCGAGGAGAGCCAAAGAGAGTAGCATTGAGCAGCCCTGCTACTTTGATGGGAGTGACTGACAGGTAGCCACCTGGCTCTGACAGCTGTAGTCAGGCCAGTGTCCAGAGCTAGCCGGACGCTCTCCCTAGGCTAGCACCAAGCCCATTGCTTTGGCCCAGAGACGCACTGTTTTCTTTTCCCTCTTCCAGGAAGAGGAAGACAGACCAGTTCCTGAGGGACGCAGTGGAAACCAGACTGAGAATGCTGATCCCGTACATTGAACACTGGCCCCGGGTACAGAGTCCATATCCAGACCCCAGGGCAACAATGTATTCAGATTGGTAACTGTCAGCACCTTTCACTCAGAGGACTGTGCACACTGTCAGAAGTTAGCTCACTGATGTACACAGACCTAGGGATGCTCCATGAACTTGGCAGAGCTAGGTTTCAGATTTGGGGGATGCCAAAGAGAGCAACTCGGAGCCATCTGTGTCTCAGTCCCTGGAGATGTGAGTGGCCTGGGTAGTGGATCACATCCTGGGTGGGGTCTTAGTGGCCCAATTGTGCCAGCAGGTCTTCAGTGAGGAGGAATCCATGAAGGAGATTAGAAAAGGCAGCAGATTGTATTGGCCATTGTTATTAACGGGCCTGTCATGTTCTATATCTCAGAGGACTGGATTTCGTTTCAAATTGTCAGTGTGATGCTTGAAAATTGGAGTATTCATTACAAGGGCTTTTCCCCTTTTCTGACGCTTCCTTTTTTCTGTTTCAAAGCATGTCACAGTGTGGGCCATTCTCTTGGTTAAGAAACTCAAGTCAAAGCACATCAGAAATGAGAGGAATGCAGAGATCATCTGGTGTCCTCTATCCACCTGGGACACTATTAAACATGGAATTTCAGTCAGTCATTTGACAGACACTTGAACCCCCCAGTCTGGGTGTGAAGGGAGTACAGCGAAGAGTCAAGCCTGCCCCTGTGTATGCTTGCTACACTTGATTTTCAGACCTGTGGGCTTGACTCGTGCCACCTCACAGTTCACATGGTAAAAATGAGAGCATTAGGCCCTAGCTGCCTGATAATTCAGCACATTTCCTTCTGGGCTCCTTCACTAAGAGAAAACTTTCCAGCCAATCCAGAACCTCTCTGTCCAAATCCATAGGTCCCAGCCAAGGATTTTACAGTTGATAAGTGGCAAGACCTTGTACTGTCAGGAGTTGATGTCTGCTAATGGAGGAGTCTCTGAGTTGTACCATTGCTTACATTAGTTGAAGGATTTGGTTTCAGGTAGCAGATCAACTTGAGTTGCG